AAGGGGTGTGCGTAGTGAACACCACAGGGCCGGCAGTGGGAGAGGACGCTGCTCGCCACCCGGCTGGCAGACCCTGCCTGGCAATTCCTGCACAAGGCTGGGGACACACGGGTGGGGGTGTGAGCACGGGGGCACAGGGAGCAGCACCATGGACCCTGGGGGATCACAGAGTCTGGGGTCACCAACCAAAAGGCGGGAGAGCGGGTGGGAAAGAAAACCCAAGAACAAACCAACGAGAGCTGAGGAGGGAAACCGACGGAGGCGGGGGAAGGGCTCTTCAGAGCAGCTGCCTGTGGTCAGCGTCCTCACACTGTGGACACCAGCGTGCTACTGCCACTGTGGAACAAAGCACAGGACAGCTGCCCAGGTGCGTGCCCATCGCTGGCCAGGGGCAGCAAGCCACCCAGTCTTGGGGACAGTGATGAAGAAGCCACAACAAGGCTACACCCCAGGGGACAGAGGCGGCAGCAGCTTCAGCCCTTGGTGCTGCCCCACCAGGTACTATAGAGGCACAGCCAAGGCAAGGCGGGTGGGCCACCTCCCCAACCCTGCCCTTGCCCCTGGGTGGACAGGGCAGGCCTGAACGCTAGGAAAGAGGAAGGAGGGGAGAGATTCTTGCTCTGCACCAAAAGAGTGGGAACCCAAGGGAGGAGGGTGGGTTCCAGCTTGAGTGGCGGCTCAGAGCCAAGCTGAAGAAGAGGTGGTTTCTAGGTCCCAAGGAAGGGGGCTACCCCAGGTGAGCCCCAGGTCACCCACCCACAGTCCCAAGAACAAGTCTGAAGCCCCTTACCTGCTCACAGACCGTGCCCCGTAGTCATCCAGACCCTGGAGAGTAAAGACAGAACAGTCAGGCTGGACCCAGGGGCCTGAGGCCGAGCTCCTGCTGCCATCCCAAGTCCCCAGCACCATTCATGTGGGGACAACCCTGCCCCTGGGGTTCAGACTGGGCTCCCTGGAATGGTGGCCTTTCTCCACCTGTCCACCCTATCTCTGGCCACAATGGTCCTAGGCCTCCAGAGCCCATGGTTCCAATACTGACCTTCCAAATTAATTAGGACATCTCCTTGTCATGCTGGTGATTGACTGGATTGTGTGGGTTTTCAGCACATACAGGACAGGTCACTCAGGACCCCAGTTTGCACATATATGGCAGGGCCTCCCTCAATGCTGAGCCCAGAAAGAGCACCTGCCACTCACTTGGAAGGAGAGGTCCCCTGGAAAGCTAGGGCCACACGCTAGCCATGGGAGTGGGTGCCAGGAGTTGACTGGCAGAGACTTCCAAGGAAGGTGGCTGTGGCTTGCCTCACACAAGCCTGGACTGACCCTCAGCCATATAGTCCGAGTACCCAGACCCCAACTGGAGATTCTCGGAGATGTCCTGGCCACGGGCAAGCCATTACAGCCCAGGAGGGGACGTACGGGGCATGAGTTGGTTGTAGACAGCTGCCCTCACTCATTAGGCTGGCCTGGTCCCGGGTATCAGAGGATGGTGAGTTCACTCTCCCCAGCCACCTTCTAGGCCAGCCATGTCCACATATAGACGCCACACCCCAGGGAAGGGTAGTGACCAGACTATGGCTGGCAGAGGACCACTGTATGGGACTAGTGCCTAGCAGGGATCCACAAAGTGTGGGGCCACAAATTCCAAACCACAGAGAATTCACCCCAGGCCTGTCAGACAGGAGACCCAGACACCAACCAGCATCAGCCCCTCTGTGGAGGTTCCAAAATGAGGCTCCTGACCAAGTGCATGGTCCCCCATTCCAGGTTCACCCCAGTCCCAGGCCTGAGCACTCACCTGGGAAAAGGCAGGCACAGCCACACTGTAGGGCCTCTGCTTAAAGGTGCCAGCTGTCTGGGAGGGGAAGGCCCGGGATGATGTGCTGTAGTCAGGCGGAGGAATGGCCAGGTCGTCTTTGTCCAGCAGGTTGCCGGTGCTGCTGCTCTTGCCCTGCTGCAGGCTGTGGAGATGCGGGCTCAGAGCTGGCTGGGCAGCGAGGCCCCACAATACCCCCGGGAAGTCCAACACATGGGCCAGAGTGACCCACCCTTGCCTTCCCCAGCCTCGCTCAGCCCCACCCAGCTGCTTCCAGCAGTCGAGGCCGTAGCTGCACTGACCCCATGGGCCTCCTCCTTCTAGCCTCTGCCTCCTGTGGGCTGGTCGTCCTGGACCTAGGCATGAAGATGTACCAGGAGGAAGTTGCCATGATGCTCACTGAGGGAGCCCTGCACTGACTGGCAATACTCGCGCTATTAGGTCCAGCTGAGATTCCCAAGGGCCAAGAGAACCCGAGGAACTGTGAGAGACTGGGTCCTGGCACCCAGGAGGTGGCAGGTAGCGGGGGGGGGGTGTGTCCCCTACCTGGACAATCACCCCACATAGCACCGCTATTCCTCTCAGCACCCTCAGAGCTCTTAGATCAGCCATTTTCAAGAATACCACCCAACTCCACAGCACCCTCATCCCCACCCCACCCTGCAGGACTCAAACGGGCAGCGGCAGCTCCGTGAGGCAGAGGAGTCCAAAGCCCAGACCAGCTCTATGCCAAGGGAGCTGGGCAGGCCCTCATTCTCCTCACAGCCTTGCTCTAGGGCTGAGGGCCAGGTGCACCCAGACTGTACGCTTACCTCATGTGTAACCGGTCACTGCCATCACTGTCCAAGACCCGGGTGTAGGAGAAGGGAAACCAACCCCTCCTGGAACAGAGACCCAGGTGAGGGTCCATGCCCACTCCATAGGCACCACAGGCAGGGAAGCATCAGCAGCCTGCCACCCCAGTGACCCCCACCCTATCCCAAGTCCCAACACTTCCCCAAGCCTAGCTACACCCAACTGTAGATGGACAGACCAGGGAGACTAAGGCACACTAGCCCTAAGGGTAAGGAGGCTTGGTGGGGGGCCTTGTGGGACCCAAATAGAGCTGCGCCCCACCTGCCACAAAGCCCCTCAACATGCTGGGACATGGCACTAAGACTACAGAAGACAATGAAAGATAGGCAGGCAGGGCAGGGCCTCCACTTCTTAGGAACCTTGCCCAACCTCCTCCTTAGGCCCATGGTTTCCACTCGGCCACAGCAAAGCTCAGTTAAGACTTTCTTTCCCAGTTGTGGTTATAATGTCACATGGGCCAGGTCCCTCTCTGGCCAAAAGATACCTGGACAAAAACAGCAGCCCTGGGAAGGGGCGGCCCCCAGGTTGAGCAAGAGTGGGTTCTTGGCACACCTTGTCTGCAGCAGGTATTAGGTTGGGATATGCCAGGCCACCCTGTGACTTGGTAATATACAAGAACAGAGCAGATGCTGGGGAAGCACAGAAGCTGTGAGTCTCCGGTTAGCCAAGACCTGCTCTGCTTCAACATGAGAAATGGTCAGGTGTGCTATGGCATGTACCCATGTGGGACACCATGCCCTGGGCCAAATCAGGTGGCAAGGGAAGATGACTGAGCAGTGGAGGTAAGGTCTGGGAAAGACCACTGCTGTGTGGAGGAAACCCTGGGACCATGTTCCTCCTTGCTACCCAGGAGAGGCTATATGGCATGGATTACCAGCCTAATAAAGAACCCAGTGTTGCCAGCACATCTGGACACTGCTGCCCCTGTGTGCTTGCTGAAGGGGGCCAGGATGCCACAAACTCACTCCCCTGCCTGATGCTGGTGGCTCATGCCTGTAACCCTAGCTACTTAGAAGGCTGAGATCAGGAGGATCATGGCTTGAGGCGAGCTCAAACAGTTCACAAGACCCTCATTCTCCAAAAAATACCAGAGAATGGACTGGGGGTGTGGCTCAAATGGTACAGTGCCTGCATTGTAAGTGAAGTTCAAATCCCAGTCCCACCAAAAACCACCAAACCAAACAAACACCAAAAACTCTCTCCCCCCTTAGGTGGATGCTCACATCTTGGTCTTCTCACTCTCGCCATAGTGCCAGCCATCACGGGCCTCGGGAACCAGCAGGGTGATGAGGTCGCCCTCCTTGAAGCTCAGCAGAGTGCTGTTGTCCCCGGCCGCGTGGGAAAAAATGGCTTTGACCCGCATACGGCCATTGCGCTCCAGGCCGGCTGCCATAGAGCTCGAGCGTGGCAGGGTCTTGTTCTCGGCTGCTGGGACAACGGGGTGGGTGTGAGGGGACTGTCCGTCGCAGACGGAGCCCAGCTAGAGGACAGGGAACCTGGATGCGGTGGTGACGACACTCATAGGCTGGACACTGGGTAGGATGAAAGGAGCTGTCCCGTGGTTAGCTGATGGCCCCCCGCCCCCAGCCCATCTGCTCCTAAGTCAGACTGTGCGAGTCACACACTTAGGGTCCTGGCACTGTTGCCCCATGTCACACACTCAACGGGCACACACTTACAGGCACAATACACCAATTCGTGCAGGTGCTTCAAGCACACGTAAACATGTACACATAAGCACATTACCCCTAGGCACATGCACAAAGGTACTGTGCACACCCACCCACCCATGTGCGTAACGTATTTTTGTATGTGTCTGCACAGTATACGTGCAGACCTACGTGTGCATTCATGTAAACGCACACTGCCCCCAGTCGTGTGCACACACGCATACCCATAGGCCTCGGGTTTTCCTAGGCCTCTGCTCAGGGGTATGCATTACTGGAGACCTGAGGAGGTACACAGGGGACCCCAGCTCAGCACTGCATGGGCCCTTACTGGTGGCATAGCTGTTCTTCGGGGTCACACTCTTGCGCACAGGGAGTGTGTTGGAGTACGAGTCACTCAGCTTGCTCTGAGACTGTGGGGGAGACAGGGATTTGGGCTGGGCAGCCTTTCGGTCAGCCCAGGGGTTGTAGTCTTCGCTGTCCGGGCCTGTGATGCCATTCATGACAGGCACGTTCTCCTGAGCAGACATCCGCTGGAGGAAGAGGAAGCAGGGGCAGAGCGTCACTGGGAGCCAGCTTGGGAGGAAACCCTGCACCCCCCCACCCCAGAGGGGCCCTGGGCTCAGCACACTGGGCTTGCCCTTCAGGGAACAAGTTGCCACAAGCACAGGGAACCAACCCCACTTCCATATGCTCCCAGAAGCCCAGGACTCACCCCCACAAATGGTGCCAGCTCAGGGGGCACTGGAAGGGGCTTGGCCCCGGGAATGGGGTCCGAGATGACCAGGTTGGACTTAGAGGCTGACAGAGCGCTGGGGAGGATGGAGCCGTTGCTGTTGGCTATCTGCTGCATCAGCTGGACGGCACGGTCTGGGATCTTGTTGGGGTCGGCACAGGCTTGCTGCCACAGTGGCAGTTTCTGGGCCAGCAGCTCCTTGCCCTGAAGTGGAAAGTGCAGGATGAGGAGGAGCTCAGGGGTGGCACAGGCTCCCACAGTGGACGCAGCCCAGAGGTGTCTCCCTGAGCACCCCTCACCTTGCAAGTGGCTGCCTCACCTAGTGCTGAGGTTGCTCTTTACCGGGGTACCTCACAGTGAGAGTCACCAAATGGGCTACCTGTACACTATCATATGCTGCGGAGTTGTAGGGGACACTAGGGATGAGGTCAACATGAGGCCCAGTGCTGGTAAGGCCTTCCTAAGGATCTGGAGGAAGGAGAAACAGCAGGAGCTCACATGGTGGGCAGCCATGAAATACCGGGGAAAGAGAGCCACTGGGCAGGTGTGTGTGTGGGATCACCCTTGGATAAGGGACAGAGTTGCCCAGCTGCAGTCAGATCAGCTAGAGATGTGGGAAGGCAGTTCCCATTAGGAGACAGAGTGGGGTTCACTGCTTCTGTCCACCTCTAGGGCCAAGAGATTGCCTCTCTGCATCTGGGGCACACAGGTAGGGGCCTGCCTGGGACACAGCCAACTGCGTGAGCACAGAGGGTGGACAGAATGAGGAAGCCACAGGCCTGAAGCTGGGGTCTGCTTTAGGCATTCTGTGCCTGCTGTAGGGAACTCCAGAAGTCTGGGAGCAGCTTGGTGCCAGACATGAATTAGGCAACCCCTGCCCCTTCTAGTCATTAGGCTGAATGGACTGAAAGGGCTACACTGCAGTGGAGAATCCAATCCCTCCTGGGGAGACGGCCGGCAGCACACTCCCTGTCTTTACTCCCTGCATGCAGCATGGCTAGCTGCCTGCCCCAGACAGGTCCAAACTCTACCTTCTGGAGCACAGGGCCCGGCCCCCACTAGAGGGCACAGACGACCGCTGCTGGCCTCACTAGCGGCAGAGCGAAGGTAGCGTGCAGGGTCCGGGTGCTTTCCTGGGTATCAGTACTTCTCCTAGTGGGGACTGTGGGGAAGGGGAAGGGAAGCATGGTCAGAGGTCCCCCTCCCTCTGCTCAGGACACAGATGCCATCTGGTCTTGTTCTTCACCTGCCCGTAGCCAGGGCAGGCCCGGGCAAGCAGAAGAGGCCTCTGGGGAGGGCGAGATACTTTCTCCTTGGTGTCCCAGGCTGAGGGATCACACGTGTGTGCCTGAGTACACGTGAATGGGAGGAGGGGTCGTGTTGGTGCGTACCCTGTTGATTCCCAGAATGCCTTCACTTAACAAGGGCACAACCAGGGCCTCCTTGATTGGCCAGGCTACCTGAACACATGGAAGCTCTTGAAACATTCTGGAATGCTGTAGGGGACACAGTTTGAGCCTGCCGTAGCATCTGCCTATGGATCATGGGTGGACAGGGGCCCACTGACCCTGCCTTTTTCCAACAGGAAGTCTGTCATCTGGGCCTTGCTGCCCCTGGGGGACAGCCCTCTTACACACACTGGGCTTCTGACCTCACCAGGCCCCAGACCATCCAAGGAAGAAGCCCGCTTCAGCCCCTCCTGAGTGGGCTCCTTGGAGCTGAGCAAGCTCCTTAGAGGAGCCATCTTGGCTCAGCAAGGCTGGGTCAGGTCTTGGGGTGTGGCGCCCCATAGGGCAAATCTCTCCACTCCTCAAGGAGCTGCTCCAAGTGCTGGGAAGAGCCCAGCTCTTGGGGCAGGAAACATGGTGGCATGAGTCCTGTGATGGTCTGGACCATAAGCATCAGGACAGCCTGGGGCCCTCACCAGACTTGGTCATGAAGGAGCTGAGAGGGCAATGAAAACCTTACCCTCTGGGGACCATGTAATACAGTCTGTGCACAGCAGGCACCCCCTGGAGCAGCGTGGGGAGGAGTGAGGCCTGAGAGCCAAGGATCTGGGTACCAGGCAGGGCCCGTGGTTGCCCAAGAGGCAAAAGAGAGAGCAGGCCCTTGCGGGAGAGTGGGGATAGTGACCAGTTCCACACAGGACAGCTAAACTATGGCAGCTGCTGGACACAGGGCTAGGGAAGCCCAAGTGGCTGGTGACATGGCCTGGCCTTGGATGGCCCCCGGCCAGAGGCTGGGAGAACTCAGTACAACAGGTAAGCAGAGCCATGGGCCCAGAAGCCACCCCAGGAATTCAGATGGAGGGGTGCCACCAGCAGGGCTAAGTGAAGGCTCAGAGTCAGCACTGAAGGGAGCCCAGATGGAGGCTCCTTTCCCCATCCAGGATGCCGCAGACCACTCCCCAGCCTGCCTGCCACCAGTCCAAACCTCAGCAGGACTCAGACTGAGGCAGAGGAGTCATGGACAATTTAGAATGTCTGAAAACCCACCTATGGACCTTCCTTGGCAGGAGGTTATGGCAGCTCTGAAAGTGCCTCTGGCAATTTCTAATGTAGGTCTTCAAGATGCCCATACCCTTTGACCTGGCTGTTCTCCCTCTAGAGCTCTGCCCCTGAGAGAGTCCAAGGGACACCAGCACCATAGCTGGAGACCTGACACTTCCCGGGCGTGCTCATGCAGAACGCTATTTACTCTCGCACTTAAGGCCAGGTCCGCAAAGGAGGCAGAGCCTGAAGCCCGAGGTGATCACCTTGGCGTGGTAAGCAGCTGAGTTCTTGGCTACAGCGCACTGCTTCTCCACCAGGAAGCAGAATCTCCGGCGCTCCTCGGTGAGTGCTGTCTTGTAGCCATCAGACACATAGTTCTCCAGCTCGCCCTGCTTGTTGCTGATAGCATCGATGTACTGAAGGGTGGGAAGGAGAAAGGGGAAAAGCTGGTGAGAGGGGAACAGAGGGCAGACCCTCTCTGCCCTGCCCTAGGATTTAAAAACCCAGCAGTTCTTGTAGAGTGGAACAGAACAGATCTGAGGCCACGTAGGAAAAGCCTGATGCTCCCCATCCCAGGGACATCGCCTGGCAGTGAGCCAGGGTCCTGCCTCTTGCAGGAGACAAAATGGAGGGGTCAGCCTTACCTCCCTGAGAAGGAGAAGGCAGCACAGCCCTTCTGTGGCAGTCAGCCCTTCTGTACACCTTGGTCACAGTACAGAAATGTCAAATGGCATCAGTTGCTACAAAGACCATCTCTATCCCAGCTACACAAGCCTCAGGGTAGCTTCTCAGTCCTACTGTGTCACTTGGCAATCCGTGGCCTCTTAATCTCATCTCAAGCAGGAGACACAGGAGAATTAGAGTCAGGGGACACTAACCATGGGGACCCCGGGTGAGCCTGCTGCACGAAAGAAACCCATAAGGTTCTGTTTCCGTCTGCGAGCAAGTGTGGGGTGGGGCAGATCAATCAGTTCCCAACCTGTTTGGCAGAAGACCACATCCAGGAGAAAGCAGAAGTTCATTGTGTTGAGGAGGATGCAAGGGGTGGTGCTGAATGGTACCAAATGGTACCAAGGGAGGATGTCTGCAGGGCAGCAAAGTCTGACAGGCAGCCCCCCAACTGGAGCCTGTGTGTCACACTCACTGAAGAAGATGCTTGTGGGAAAGGGGCCTTCACAGAGCAAGGACTGGAAAGTGACCCAGATGCATGACTTTCCACCTCAGTGCTACCCAGGTGCCCATTCCACTGCCTCCTTGGGAGGGGTCATGAATGTACCCAGACGTGGAAACTTTGGAAAGCCCCTCAGCTCTCACAGGTGCTCTGGGCCCAGGAAAGGCGGGTGGCTCCAGGGGAGGTGGCAGGCACACCTCCACTCCTGAACCAGAGATTAACCTCTCTGTAGTCCCTAATATCATGGATCTGGTTTTAAGCACCAATGGCTGTCCTGCCCCAACCATTCTGTGCTTGCTGGTGGACACACAGTTTATCTAGGAGCTGGCATCTCACCAGTACCATGGCACTTTCTCTTTTTCTTGTCCAAAATCCCTGAAACAAAACTGAGCCTCACCTTGACCAAGCCTTCAGACCCTACTACCAGTTCTGAGTGTGCCAGGAGGCAGGACACTATCAGCAAAAACATATAGAGGTCAAACTCATAGGACAGTGCAGAAGGGGCTGCCAGGGACTGGGGGAGGAGGGGGTCCATGGGAAAGAGTCCTAATTTGGGAAGATCAGAAGGTCTGCAGATGGATAGAGGTGATAATGGTCACATATACCACAGCAAACAATGAATATGCACTTCAAAAACAGGAAGTTTTGTTTGGGGGTGGGTACTGGGGGGAGGGTAAACAGAGAGGGTAAAGGAGGGTGAATATGAAGTGCTGGTGGAATGGCTTGCAAGCATGAGGCCCTCAGTTCAAACCCCAGTACCGCAAAAAAAAAAAAAAGGAGGGTGAATATGGTACGTGTACTTTATATACTTGTATGAAAACCTGTTGAAATTGTTGTAAGTAGCTGGGAAGGGGATGAGGGGATGGGGGGGAATAACAAGGTATGTTGTAAGTATAAATGGAAATGTCACAGTGAAAATTCCCTGTACAACTAATGTATGCTAATAAAATGTTAAAAAAAGTGCTTTGGGGCTGGGGGTGTAGCTTTAGTGCTAGAGCACTTACCTAGCATACATGAGGCCCTGGGTTTGATCCCCAGCACCAGGAAAGAAAAAATGAAGTGTTTCACACCGCTGAACTGTACATTTAAAACAAAGGGGTGACCAAGTGCCAGTGGCTCACACCGATAATCCTAGCTCCTTAGGAGGCAAAGATCAAGAGGACTGAGATTCAAAGTCAGCCCAGACAAATAGTTTGTGAGCTCTGATCTCGACAAAACCCTTCACAAAAAAGGGCTGGTGGAGTGGCTCAAGGTGTAGTAGGCCCTGAGTTCAAATCCTAGCACTACAAAAATAAATAAATAAAAACAACGTGGTAAATTATATTGAGGTATTTCACAATTTAAAATATAAGCAATCTATACTGAGAGGCCACTGGACAATCAGTCATACCTTTGTGATAAGTGAGTCACAGAGAAGAAATCAGGAAACAGCATTTTGGGGGAAGAGCCATGAGGTCAGTGTGAGGTGCAGACAGGGTAGGGAACTACTGCCCTGTTCCTGAAGGCCAGTGCTTCCTGCAGGGTAGGCACTAGGGCCTGGCCAGGGGATGTGCCCAGGACTTTGCTTTGGTCCCTCTGGGAGGGGCACTGCCCCTCCACGATCTGCCTAGCAGACTATGCATCTGAGGTGGGTGTGTATGCACTCTCAATCCTGTAGTTAAGGGACACAGCACCTCCTGTGGTTTCCATGCCAACCATCAAAAACCACCTTGACAGTCAACCAGAAGCCCAACCTGCCCTGTCAAAGGATGACTCACACCGATCACCTGGGCTGGGGAACAAATGAGGATACAGGCAACAAAATGCCAACAGGTCTGTGGGTGGCCGTGAAGGTCTGCAAAGCCCCTTGACAAGTACCCAGACTTCTCTCTCCCTGGTGCACTTTCCAGGTCTCTGTCTCACCCCACCTCTTGCATTCATTCAACTCAGGCTGAGCCCTCACCAGCCTGGGGCACAGCATCCAAGGACTGCTGTCCAGGGGCAGTTTTCACAGAAGTGCTTCCTAAGCAGGCTGTCCTCCGGTAGGGGGCAGGCCTGGCTGCCAGGGGCACCTCCCAGTCTGACTCACGGCCGCCTCGGAGCTCTGACTCAGTGTGGGTGGGCGGCTGAGCTGTAGGCGATAGAGGGGGCAAGAGCAGGCTGTTCCCTAGGCACCTCCCCACGCAGAGCTCAGCCAGAGCGATGAGGGAACCGAGGTGGCTGTGGGCCAGTCCCCAGTGCACCAGAGCCCCAACTCTGCCTGCCAGCTAGCATATGTGTCCCCAAGGTCAGGGCCTGCCTAGCCCTGTCACCAAATATCCAAGCCCTGCTCCTTCTGCCTTTTTAGACTTCCACCTTCCCACACTGAACCCCATCCTCCCTTTTGGGAAGGCAACTTAAATGGGTCTCAACATAGCTGGCTTGCTACCCTCAGTCTTAAATCAAGGCCATAGCCTCAAGAGTCTGTGGTCCTCCCTAGTGGCTACAGGGCTCAGCCACAAGGTCTGTAGGAAGGGACCCAGGACTTCACTCAGGAAGAGAGAAGTCTGAACACCAATCAAGCAGCCCGAGGGCAGCCCCAAGCAGACTCTTCAGCAGGCTCTGCTATCATGATGGCGGAAGCTCCCGCCTCTGCCTCCTCCTCCCTGTCCTCCTCCACAGCACTGAGTACTTTTCCTCTGGTTACACAACATGCACCTACCAGGACCGCCTACTGCTCCCATGTGTGTGAGGCTCCTCTAGGAAGTGGGGGTGCAGCCACTGAGGTTCACAGCACCCACAAGGGCTGTGACTGGAGGGCCTTAAGGAGCCATGGGAAAGGTGACAGCTGGCTGTGCTCCAGCCTCAGTTCTGGGCTCCCTTCCCAAGCATTAGGGTAGAGGGCATGGATGAGGCAATCCCAGGACAGGGGACAGGTAGAGGAGTGGACTTGTGCCTGAGGAGGAGGCTGGGAGGATCACACCAGCCTGCCCATCTTTTGGAGCAACACCCAGCATGGGCCTACAGCAGCCTGCAGGGTCCCACTTGCTCTGCTTGAGGCTGTCAATTTTGGCTGTGGCCTTCAAGGAGGGCACCTCCCAGTCCTGACCTCACTTACAAGGGCACACACAGAGGGGCTTGGCCTGGTGGCCAGGAACCCCTAAGCAGGGCAGCTCAGAAGTACACAAGGCTCCCCATGAGTCCAGCAGGTCTCTTCCCTGTGGTCTTCTCTAATGCTGGCCAGGCCAGAGGACATGGTGGATGACTGTGTCTAGTACCCAGGGCTTGAGGGGACTCAGCAGCAGACTTGACACCCTTGAAAGGGGAGATGAGGTGCTGAGAAAGAAAGGGTGGGGGAGGGAGGCCACTGTGCCAGTCGTTATCTAAGGGACTTTGGTAAAGAAAAGGCGTTGGTTGGAACAGTTGCCCCAGGACAGCAGTGTAAACCAGGTCGCGAGGCCCCCTGGGTTCCCTTGCCTTGAGAACGGCACCTTCCAAACCCAGGCCCTGGAACTGGCTGGCTGGCCACGGCAGGATTTCTGGGTTTGTAGGCTGCGGCTGCCTTCACACGGAGGCCTCTGCTCCCTGGAGTGCAGTGCTGCATGAGGCTCTGGCCTCATTAACAGGGTCTGGCAGCCTCCGGTGTCAGAAGGGTGTGGTGTTTTATTTTTAGGATTTTCACTCACTCACGAACCTCAAGAACAACCAGGAACCTAACAGGTCACAACTGGGAGTTCAGGCCAGGGCAGGGGAAGAGGAGAGGAGAAGAGAGGAGTGCTCTGGCAGGGGCTGTAGGAGTCCCTGGGGTCTCCCCATGGATACCAACTGTTGGGGTGCAGGGAAGATGTTCCCTGGATATGCCCGCCTGGATGCCAGCCCAGGAAGGGTCTGTAAGGACCCGGGAGAGATGCTAGCCTCCTCTGGCTAGTGACAGGCTAGGCTGTGGCTAGTGACAACATGGCTGCTACTTCTGTCTAGGAGTGACAGCTGACATCCCTGACCTCCTCTCCCAGGCCGCTAACTCCTAACACAGAGAGACCACAACTTCAGCAGGTAGATCCTGGAAATCTAGGCCAAGTGAGGAATGTCACCTTATAAGAGGGACAGTGAGAGATGCTGGCCACCTCTGTACGGCTGCAGGCTGCTCTGAGCAGCTGAGTGGAGGGGGTGCCCCAAGGTTTGAGCTCGCTGGAAAGTGCAGAGGACAGGACTGCTGATGGCCCTGCAGTGGGCCATTTAAAATGGTACTGAGCTGCTGCCCACAGGGACCAGGCTACTGCTGTCCTT